TAATGATATATATTGATTTTGATAGCACAAATTTTTTATCTTTTTTTGCATTTATTAAAAAATCATGGCACGGTAATTACTTATTATTACGAGCTTAATGATGAATAGTTAACATGATAAATTTAGAGATTAAAGTCATTATATTTTGTTTGAATATTATAAATTCGAACTTTACTAAAAATATATAATAGTTCGCTAAATTTTGAGAATATTATGGGATAATGGAGACTTAATGAAGTGTAGAACTTAAATTATTAATTTATTAGTAAGAATAATATGATTAAATTAGATCTAAGACCAATAATTTTAGTTTGGGACATAATATAAATTTTTTTAATTGGAATAGTTATAAAGAATTAAGAAATCAGACATATTTTTTTATCGCGAAATAGTTTGTATTTTTTAATATCAAATGTGTGATTACATAATTAACGAGTCATTGATCAAGTCAACTGATGGTTTACCACTTTGTTGTCTATCACGGGCACGGTGTAATTTTTTTTTTATTAATTATTTTTTATGATAAAAAAATTTAAATATTTCAATTTCGTATTGTTAAAAATTTGTAAGGAAGAGGTAGGAAAAACCTCTTTGGGAATTAAGTGCTTAAAAAAACACTTGAACTTTTGAAGTTGGGACACCTTAAAACCAATGTTTGTAAGTTATGAAAGTATGTACCTTAGGCAAGTGATTTGTAAGAAATAAAGTTTGAAGAAAATTGTGAAAACTTCTCAAAATTGTTAGCTTGAGGTGATAACTTATGCACTATATAAAATTAAATTTATAATCTTTCTGTATAAATATTTCAGTTTCATATTTTTAAAAATTTAAAAGAATAAATAAAACAGTTTGTTATCGACGTCAGTAACGTTAGAGTGAAGAACATAAAAAAAAAAATAAGTGAAGGTCTGCATGTCGAGTGTCCGTCATCGTCTTTCCCATCTAAACCTTCATGAAGAGAGGAATCCTATGAAATTAAGTGCTTGAAAAAACGGTTAAACTTTTGAAGTTAAACACCTTAAAACCAATGTTTGTAAGTTACGAAACTATGCACCTTAGACAAGCGAATTGTGAGGAATAAAGTTTGGCATATTAGGAAGACAAGCCTTTGAGAAACTTGTGAAAACTTCCAAAGTTGTTAGCTTGAGGAGATAAGTTATGCACAAAATTGGGTCGAACCTCTACGAAATCAAATTTATAATCTCTCTATCCTTCCCTCACTTGTCTATACTTTGCACTTAATTACAACTTGGGAATTAATCTTTGCTTATGATTTATTGTGTTCTTGTATATCCCCTTATGAATTATCTATATATTTGGTTTGATATTAGATGTTTGTAAGTCTCCACCCCATATGGGATCTCCAACAATCCTAGCAATATACTGAAATTTCTCCTTTATAATTTACAAAGGAAGATCTCTCATGAACATTACCCTGAAATCCATCTCCTTTACATGCTTGTGTTTTAGTGATCTTGTTTAGGGATTTCGAGAAACATGATTCGAGAATGCCTTTTAATTCTCGAGGAATAAATCAGTACTAAACAATACTACAATGCTAATGTATTTAAGAAGCTAGATCTACACTGAATATCATACATCAAATACTATATCCACTGCTTCGGAGTTGGATCAGAAAAAAATTACTGAAGTTCTCTTAAAATGTATCCGAACCGTCCGTTCCGACATCAGCCGATGTTGTAACCGTTCATGATGATACATTTAAAGTTTGAGGAAAGGAAGAAAAGAAAAAGAACAGGAAAATGTACACTTCATTTTTCACATTTTCAAGTTAAAACAGTTACCTCTTTTCTTTTCAAGTATCCTTCTTTTTTACATTTTTCATTGTGACCTGGGATTCTCCTGATCCCTCTTTGTACATGTATCAACTGCAAAAAATATCCAACAAACTAGGTACAGAAATGTCAAAATTTAAGGAGAAAAAAGAAAATAAAGAAACGGAAGACCCACCGGTATAGCATCCTCCTAACTGCTTCATCGGTTGATTTGCTATTGTTCCCTCTCACATAATTCCCCGGAAAATTTGCTTGCAGCAAACAGTTTCTTAAAGGCCTAAACATCCTGCAACAAATGAAGAAACAAAAGGTGTTTCCTTCTCTTGCTAAACTACCGTAGTGGAAGCCAGTGCAGTAAAAATTTAGAACACTTGGAACGGTACAGCCAGAGGTTATCACAAAATCTGCTCTTTTGCAACCCAGACACTGATAACCACCGCAATGCCTCACATGAATATCGACACCAAGCCTTCATTTGGGGACAGATGAACCAGCAATACTATCGAAGGCTGTGCGAAAGCGGAGACCAAAACCAGTGTGTCTTGATGTGGGGCATATCCAACATAGGATGTTTGGACCCAGCACCTGAAGAAAGTCAAATGAAACCCTTTTTACTGCAACATAAATTTGTTAAAAAGCACATAAGAAAACAACTATTTGAATCTGAAACTGGAGAATGTTCAACCGGCATAGAGAAGATGGCAGCAAGAAACCTTAATTAGGTATAGGCAAAACAAGAAAGAAAGCCCAGAAGAAGAACCAACTAGAGTTTCCATAATAGTACTGATAAAATAGAACTGAGCCTAGGTCAGAACATATGTTAAAGAAACTAAGCCCTCCCACAGCATGGCATCATTGATCAACCAGAGTCTTGTACATAATTTGCTTTCCCTGTTCTGTCTCCACATTTGCAAACCCATAAAAGAAAGGCATAATATACAATTACAAAGCTAGGTGGTCATATAATATGTTGTTATCCGTGTAGAACCATGAACACAAGGAGATATCCACCCAGAAAGATTGTTACGACACACACAGGACATTTCCACCCATACCATCAGCTTTGTTACAAGGGCAGCCAAATCATTAAGGGAGAAAAAACAAGATTTTGCAACTCAAATGCTCACTGGTAACCTGCTAAATGATCGGGGCAGCTAGCAGTCATATGCTGATGAAAAACAGGCTTGCATAATCAAGAGAATAAAAGCAGGAGCTAATGCAACCTTACCAAGATAAATCTTTAACATTAACTACAGCATATTTGAGATCTGTTACCAAAGGAGGTAAGGAAAGACGTGGATCTTACTGTTGTCAGATTCTCATAGGCACCAATATCATATGGATGCTTATAGACCTGCCCGCCTTTCTCTGCAAGCCACATGGCCCTCACCCCTTCATGGTACTGCCAAATTCATGATTGACTTTAGAAATTGATTAAAACAATATAGTCCTATTACTTCAATATATATTTTTATATAGTCCTAATTCTAGAATGAAAGGACAATCAGCCTGATGTGGAAATAAAAATTAATAACCTCAATTGTTGTCTTGTTGTGCAAGATGAGATACACATGCCAGCCTAGAAGAACACTTAATGCAATGCTCAAGGGGACGAGCAAGAGTCCAGAAATGACCTGGAAATGGTAAAAATTATCAAAACATGAGGATGTTTAATTTTGATCAAACAAAAGTCAACCAGCCCCAATATTTACATATGCAGTTCTGAAAGAGTCCATCTGCTGCTCATCCTTTCCAGTATCAACAGTCAGACTGCCCAGAAGCAAAACCTGAGGGTTTAAACACAGAGAAGATGGTAAAGTCTTGAACTACCAGTTCAGGAGTATCCAGGTGGCCAAATAAAGTAAAACACCAACCAGCAGAAGTTTAAATTCTGCACTAACTTATATTTATTAGAACGGCTATGAAAAGGAAGCATGTACTGCAAATGGAAGTGCACACAGCACCGGCCACTTAAAAAAGATCGTAAACTTACCAGGGAGTAGATGCATGCAATCACCGCATACACAATAAAGACGAAGAAGACTTTATAGTTTGCATGGCCAACACAGTTATTTATCCAAATGCAATGATGGTCCTGACAACCAAGAGGCAGCACTTTAAAAATTACACATGACACTTAACATAAGGTGTGAATCATGACAGAGATCAACTATACCATTCTTAAAACACATCTTTTACAAACACGACAATGATGAGCACGGGGAGGTTTAAAGTGAGAACACTTTTGGCAAAACCTCAGGTCGCCTCCCTGCAGAGATATTAAAGAGATAAAGAATATTCAAAAAGCTACAATCAAGATTCATTATTAAGAAGATAGCAGATTTCTGAAATGCAGCTAAAAGAAAATAGCATGGTATTGACAAGAAATCAGAAGTCAGATGCCAATACTTTCACCTAGACACCTCACAGAACCTAACAGACAAATTTCGCTAATGCAAACAATGATATGTCTTATAAGCATGAACAATCAATATCAAGCATTTTAGAAGATATACGGAAGATTAGAGACAGAGAGATGCAAAATAAAAAATTCAGATTCCAGTATGGTGATTGGGAGTTGTAGGTTCTGCAACTTT